CTCTGACCAGTGCTGAAAGCTTGTTGGGGGATAAATGTGGGATGAAGACTCTAAATAAGAAAAGATAATTTGATGCACTTGTGATTCAGAAGGAAAATTCATTTTAACAGGCAAACTGGATGCAAAATCCTAACTTGCTGATTGATGCCTTTCTAACTCCTGAATCGCCATCAGTACAGCACTTCTGCAGTGATTCTTTATAATGTAACTAGAAGCTGTATATTAGCTTTCAGTCATGCTAAGACCTATAGTTAAAAAAATCAGATATTTACTAAAGAGATGGATACATCTACTAAACACTTTTTCAGTAAGTTATAAACTTTTTGTTTTATAATTTAAACTGTGTTAAATATTTATTTGTGTGTTTTGTTTATGGTGCACTGATCACAGGTTTCTGACAAATAGCCAGTTTCGTTTTGTCCATATTGAATATTTAAGCAGATGACTTCTGTAATGGAAATACTCTGTAATGTGATTGATATTTAATTTTACTGTGAAGTTGTTGAGATTTCTTAAAATAGTTACTTCAAGACATTGCTTGTAGTTAACTTGGATAAAGTGCAGTAAAATATTGTTGATGACTTTAAGATTTATAGTATAAACTTAAATCAGTTAAAGGTTTTTTTAAGATCTGTATTAGATTGTGCAGAGTATTTAAACACTATGTTATAAGTAAAATCTCAAACTGAAATATTCTTTTTCAGCTGAACACTCGGTGAAGTCCTCTTCTGTGGATTCAAGAAAGGTCAAAACATCCTGGCCCTTCGTACAGACAAGGCCTTGATTTAATGTAGTGAGCCTGCAGACCAATGTCACATATGTAGTCTGTTAATCTGTACTTGTTAACTAATTTAATAAATCTTTTGAGATCAAAATGTTTGCCTTTTTTTAGCAAAAACATTATTTGGTTGCAGCTTTTGATTACCAATGTGGTATCCGTTTGATTTTAAAATGGTGGACCTTTGTCTTAATTTGCGTTGTATTAAAACATGTTTGATCTTGCATTATTCTTCATTTAAGCTTTACATGAGCATAACACATTGGTTTAAATGTTTCATCCATGTCCACACATAAAAGAAACTTAGATTCATTGGTAAAAGTAAGCTTTTTACAGATTGCCATTTCTCAAATTGCCTCTTGGACTGTCAGGGGATCAAGAGCAATTAAAACAGCTCATCTGTTTGTTTGAAAAACACCTTGAGATGTTTTTCCAAAAATGGAATTGTAAAAGACCACTGGGGAAAAAAGTTATTGGAATATCTGCAGTGGAGACAATGCATGAGTAGGTATAGTCTACAATATTAGCTGTTTTTGTAGAAAGGTCATTAACTTAAATTTCCAGAGCAGCACCTCCTCCAGGCTTATGGATTAACACTTGCGCTGTCACTTAGACTTTTTTAAATCTTTAAATCTTATTGAACAGCTTTGTCAAATAGAATGAATCTGAAGGACTTTCCATGCTCCAAACCATTTTAGCTGCAATGCGTGTAAGGGCATTACACTTTATATAGAGCGCTTAACTAACTGGTTACACCGCATTCTCTGTTCAGAACAGAAACATGATTTCGTGTAGTGGGTCCAAATAAAGAGTGTGCTTTATTATTATAGTTGGAGTTAATTCAAGGTTGCCAAATGTGAAAATGCTGAGCTGTACACGGGACTGGTGGAAACGCCGTACCTTAAGCGATTAGAGGAGTTTTGGCCCAGCGGCTGCCCCGTAGAGTTAACTGTAACCAGGGTTGCAACGCGGTTAGCATCAAACAGTAGGATTAGGAGTTACGGGCGTGTAGGACGTCAAAGCACTGGGAAGTAGCCTGAATTTCTGAAAACCGAAAGCGAGTCAAGTGCAAGACAATGGAGAACTCGCACCGTGTCAACGTCCTGGTAACTTCGTGTCTCAAAACCCCCGTGAACCCTCTTACCAAAGCACCAGTTGCTCTGTTTGAGAGGGAGAGCGCTGCTACACGGGGCGAGAGGTCCTTACCGGCGGAGCAGACCCGTACCCGAGATTATGAGGAAGAGGTAAGAGTACCGAAATAAAACATAGAATTGGCAAGAGAAATCCTGTTCCTGGGACCGTTTCACTGTAGTGCTGAAAATGTTTAATGAGTATCTCTAATTAGATTATTTTTATATTTCTTTCTGGTTTGGGCATCGGCACTTTACCGTCGCCAGTCAAGCTAAGACTGGTAGTGAATGGTAGACTGGTAGGCTCCAGACAGTCTTGCAATTACCTTGAGCCTCAAATATTTTATTCCTCATTTCCACACCTTCGTTGTAACCATTACAGAGGAACTGTTTAAGAAAACGTTTCCTAAAGTATAGAAGAAAAAGGGCCCGAAATAATAAATTTAAAACGAAGGTTTTTCTTTTCGCGTTGTTAGAATTCCACCAAAAGCTAGACTATTAATTATTTAAGAGGATTGGAGTTAAACACCCTTTCTGGAAAGAAAGCTTCTGCGATTTGTAACTATTCTAGGATGCAGATGAGACACTAACGTTTAATGGATTACAGGGGAGAAAAGTGTGGCTCTTTAATCTGTATTGTACAGAGCCACTCGAACAGCGGACAGGTACAGTGGGATACTCATTTTTCACCCTTTGTCTGCACGCTGAGGTGAGGCAAATATTTATACAGTATTTAAATGGACCAAATGTTTTAGTGGATGATTATATTTGTCATTAGAAATATTAATATGTAACTGTTTATGGCGAGGTATTGTTAAAATTTCATAGCATTTTCCCTTAGGGGGATTTTAATTTGTGCAGATAAATCACTTGTGGTATATTGCATACTTGGGTAGTCCCTTGCGACCCTAAATTGGAAGAATGGGTTAGAAGATGAATGCTTGTGACTTTCTCAGACATTCCTCTGAACACCCGAAGGAACCAATGTGTCTTGAGTTGTGAGCATCAGTGTAATGGAATAAAAAAATATATATTTTTGGCATATTGATACCTGTAACCTATTTAGTATCTTTCTTTACTTTCTGTCTTGGCTGTTCAGTATCTTGGTCATTATAGAAGATGAGCTTGTGTTAAGAATACACATGTACCTTTTATCACTGTTGCTACAAACATCTTCGCACTGCTGAGTGCCATATGGTCACTTCAACTAATGAGCTTTGTGCTCTAATGCTGAGAGGATATGGTATTCAGAGAGTGGTTTGCTCTTTTATAATATTTCCTTAGGTTAAAGTATGTGTCTTCTAGTTCAAACCTGATGTTCACCATATTGTTTGTGAATGACGAATTAAATATGAAAGGAGACCTGCTGTTTAAAGGTTACATTGTAAAACAACAAAGTTAAACTTAAACCTGTGTTTGTAAGTTCATTATGTAAAATATAATGGTTTATCAGTGATGAAGATTTTGTATTTTCAGTGGAGCCTCCAGTATGATGGTTAAATAAATGCAAAATAAAGTGTATTTCATACATATTTAAATCTTCATCACAGCGCTTAATATCCTGCCTGCAGTGTAGTTGAGCTGAAGCATAATTTCATCTGTTGCTTTAGGCTCTGCTCTTATTTGATTAATGTTAATAAAATTAAAACTGGTTCAAAAATTGTTCTTGGAAACCTCGACCTTGTCAGCATGCCATCATGCCATTTTAATTGAAATATTCTTGCTTTATTTTGTGTTGCAGAATGCATATGAGTCGGGCTTAGAGTGTGAGGGCAGGAAGGACAGTCCTGTGCTGATTAAGGACTACAGAATGGCTGGAGACTGTGTGGATCTCCAGGAATTTTACTTCTCCAATGAGGAATACTACAGAAAACTGGAGGAACTGAAGAAAGCCCATCTGCAGACCATGGCAGAACTGGAAAGGATGTATCGCAATAAGATGGAACTCAAAGGAGTGGCACCTCCTGACAATGAGTGTGCAAACCCTGAGTTGTTCTGCAGGTTTGTCTTTCTTGGTGTCCCCAGTAACCTAAACACCCCCTAAAGTGAGACTAGAAGCCACATTGGATCTTAGATTTCTCATCAACTCACATCATCACTGCTGAGAACAAAGCGAATTTCGTAACAGAGTTTGTGGTCAATATATTCTTTAGAAAGATGCATCTACATAATACGAAGTATTGTAGTTATTCAGATTTTGTCTTGCCAGGCAGTAACTTATGGTAACAAATGTATTAACATTTTCATCACATTATTAAAGTTTAAATTTGCAGCTTAACCAGTGAGACCTATGTGTGTCTATATTCCAGACTACTAAATATGTAATATATTGAGTTGCAGTATCTCAAACCCTTACTTTACCTCAGATTTAAAGCTCTGACTTGTACTTGTTCTTTTTCCTAGATTGCAGAACAATAGTCCAAAGCCAACAAAAGCATTTCGAAAAGCCTTTTCTGCGAATGACCTGAATCATACTGTTTGTTCAAGTTTGTCAGATACATCAGATGAAGACGCAGCATACAATGAGGCAGGGGATGTTGAAAAGGGTCTGCTGTCATCTCCCAAGGAGCACATTAAAAACATGTGGGATGATTTTTCAGTGGATGATTATGTGTCCTGTAAGAGAATGCAGTCGAGTTCTTCTCTGAAAAAACAGCAGACTCAAAAGAAACCCAAAGAATGGTGTCATAGGATCACTGTCCCCAAGCCATTCAACATGACTGTCAGAGAAGCCGAGAAAAAAAAAGGCAAATTCAAGTCTCGGTCAGAGATAGAGATGGAGAATTGCCTGCTGAAGAAGCAGCTGGAAGAGCTCACGGAATGTCAGAAGAAGTTCCGAGCAAGTCCAGTGCCCGCACATGTCTACCTGCCTCTGTTTGAGGAGATCAACGAGCGCAATGAAGACAGGAGGCAGTTCATAAGGGACAGGAACAAAGAGCTTCTGCTGGCTTCACAGAAGCCTTTCAGTTTCATTGAGAGGGAAAGGAAAAAGAAGGAAATGAGTCAAGCCCAGCTCAAAGACCTCACGCCCAAAACGGAAAAAAAAACGTTCAAAGCAAAGCCGGTGCCAAGGTCTGTGTATGACACCACGGTGAGCGAGCGCGTCAAAGAAGAGCAACTTTACAGAGCTATCAAAATGCAGATGAGGGCAGAGGAGCTTCTACGCAGCTCCTCCATGCCTAAAAGCATGGTCGTCCAAAGACTGAAAGTGAAAAAAAGAGAAAAAGTGGCAGAAACAGAAAAGGATATGGATTTCCACCCCAAGATTAACACAGATATACCAGACTTTGAGGCAAAGTACAGGAAATTCAAAAAGCAACTTATTAGCAAAAAGGACACCAAACCAATGACTGTTTGTGAACCCTTTCACCTTCTTACATCAGAGATCAGTTCTCATAGGGAGAAGATTCTAGCAGACATAGAAGCAGATGAAAACGGGTTAAGGGAAACACGTTGGCCATACATTTCACCCACAAACCATGCAAAGCCCAGCTCCAGTCTTTGCTCTTCTTTATCTGGAAGTCAGGAATTTCTACCCACCAAAATCACAGATGCAGTGAAAAAGCGTCAGGAAGCTGTGAGGTGATCACCGTTCTTCTTTAACAACAATCTTGTGTTACCTTAGTAATTTGATCAATTTGACTGTACGTTTCCTAAAATAGCGTGTAACATGTGCTAATGTGTTTGAATCTCCGTGAAGAAGCTTGTCTTCCTCTAAAAGTTCCCATTTCCTCCTAGCCCAGCCCAGCATCCCCCATCTCCCTGGATTTTCCCTAAAGATGTATGTCTTAGGAAGGCCCCTCTGCTGAGAATCTTATGTTTCCAACTAGGAAATCCCTAGAACAGAGGAAAAAGGCAGAGGAAGAGGAAGCAAAATGGAGAGAAATGCAGAGGCAAAGAGAGAGGAAACTCCAGAGAGTGATTGCAAAGCGTGCTCAGGCCAACGACCCCCATCAGGCTCTGGCACAAACTTCCATGTCTAGACTGAAGCAGTTCAGGTACAAAGGAGAACTGCAGAGCTGCTGTCCTGCCAAGACTGAAGCCCTTTTGCAGTGGTACTAAAAATCTGGCAGTGGGTTGGGTCTGAACATCGCTGTAGTAAGCAGTACTCGTCCCTGTGCTGTGTGTGCAGCCAGAGGCCTGAATGTGAAAAATGCACATTCAGGAGTGGAGTTCTCCCCACTCTGATGGCAGCTGTGAAAGAAGGATCATCTATAATCCCACAGATTGTATTTTAAGGATTTCAGCCTCTCTTAAATGTTGTTGTTGTTGTTCGTGGTTTGATTGTACACAATATAAATGGAAGTTCTTTACTAAAGTTGGAGTGGGATAACAACAGAAAAACTAATTAAGTCATTAATGACTTCTGCTATAAAGTGTATATAATTCTTGCACACAACTGTTTTCTCATTAATTCCACCTCCACCCCATCTCCACACTTGGTTAACTCCACTCTCTAAATGAAAGCCGGGAGGTTACCTCTTAATCAAGCTGGTTAAGCCAAACTTCATTATACTTAAGTACTCAAACATTCGCAAAGCATCTGATTCTTGCATGGCGTTATTGCTCGCCGTTATCACAGGACTGAAAATACCGTTCTTAAATGAAGAATTCAATGTGATAGTATCTCTGCTCTACCTGTACAGTATTTATTATTCCTTGTGTAAAATGCTATTTTATTGTTTTAATAATTGAACTAAATGGGTTTTTTTTACATACAGGCATGAACACAAAAATACGAAGAGCTGATGTTAATAATAGCTTTCAATTCATTTAAATCCAAAGAATTATTCAAGTAGATTTTTAATATTTACCATTCCACAGAAGGCCAGCCTCAGTGCAGTTCCATCTTTGAAATTAGCTGAATTCAAATAAAATATCTAGAATCACCAAATAGTGTATTGTCAGATTACCTTCACTTAAATATAGAATTTTCTTTCTACATAAAAAGGTAACTTGTCATCCATTTTAAGCAAATATATATTTTTTGTAAATGGCACTGGCTTCCTTTTCATGAGTCGTGCCCTAGCCAGGACTAATAACAAAAGAGAACGACCTACTGTAGGAAAAGTTAACTCCGTTCTGGAGAGTTAAATGGAAAATACAATGTTTGACTATAGAGTCTTGTGACAGTTGAAAGGATTTACAAACAAAACTGAATTTTATCTTTTCCATTTTCAGGATGGAGCTAACCTCTACTTCTTTTTTGAAAGCACTCCACTCCAGCCTATTCAAAAGAGAAAACAATTTAGGAATAAACTTGTTTTTTTTTTTACAGGAACCTCAATATTAGCTGCCTGCTTTTGACAGACAGATTGTAGTACATTCATTCACACAGGCTTCTTACAGCTTAGGAAAGGTGACTGGAATCTGTGTTGGGACAGGAAGCAAGATCAGCAGAGAAGGAAGGAGTACCTGGAGGAGATGAGGGAAATCCAGGAGAGATTGAAGGAGAGGCCTCTGCTATTGGAACAAGTAACACAGGTGGACCCTGGGCTCTGTATTCCCATTTTAAATAACTTAATTTCATATACACTTATATTTGTATATACCTTAACTTATTCAATTGCATTCTGAATAGTTATTAATACCTAGCAGCTTTTCTTTTGAGTGACTTCCTCAAACAGTTATCGGCGAACCTTTCAATTTGTCTCATTTTAAAAGATAAAAAAATATATGTAAGGTTTTTTCTTGTTTGCACAAAATCAAAAAGTGGCATAGTTTGCTTGCCTTTCCTTTTTACAGAAGAACGCCAGACAGGCCGCAGAAAAACGCTACTGTGACACGCTTAAAGAATACGGGCTCAGTGAAGACTTTGTCAGCAGTAAAGTCCCAGGAGCCCAGAAGCACGGTGATGAATCCATCAGCAGTGTATCCCTTTCAAGTGAAGATAAAGAGAGGTGACTGTCAGCACAGAGGGAGAGAGGAGATGTCTGAACCTTCCATTTCTATAAGAATTTTTCCTATTTCACTCTATAGATTCGGACCTAAACATTAAAAAGATTTCATTCAAGTTTGGCCATTGTTTATACTATTGATTAGTATATTAGATTAATTTCTGGTTTGGAATTGATTCTGCTTTACAATCTTGTACAAAGTTCTAATATTTTGTTATTAAAAAGAGAAATGTTTTCAGCATGCTTAGATTAAAGTCTAATACACCTTTGATGTTTTTTTTTGTAGAGTGAATACTGATTCAATCTGCTTTCTTTGGCAGTGTTAACAATCAGTATGCAGAGTCGTCTGCAGGCCAAGAGGAATATCGAGATGATTTTGAAGATAATGATGACAATTTAAACAAGCATGACAATGAAGTGGACAAGGATAAACGTTATAACAAAGAGGAAAGTGAAAATAAATCAAACCATGAATCCAATAATAATTCTGTCAATGGAGAAAATCATCATAGCACAGATAGCGGAAGTGATAATGAGGACTAGGAATATGAAAAAGACATGCAAAATAGCACCTTCCCAGATTTCTCTTGTAGCAATATAGGGATTCTTTTTTAAGTTAAATCACAACAACTATTTGAAAAATATGTTGAATCAATGATTTGACTAGTATTTCAATAGAAGAGCACCTCCCCTTAAAAATAGTATAGGGTACATCATTGTTATTCTAATAATCATGGTGATACTCAAATATGAAAACCCAAAAGATAGAAATCTATAGACAAAATCTATAGTGCAGGTGCTATATGTTTTGTGATCAAATGCAGGATTCTCAGGTGGTATTTTGATCCAAAAATGTAGATTTAATTTTTTCAAGTTGATTTGTAGCTCTTTTCTTTTGCTGTGTAGTGTATTCTGTGAACAGTATTTTCCGTCACGCTTGTGCACACATCCATAACAAACATGTGCTGTAGATGTAGATCTTCCTACTTGCATTAAATCTGTCAAAGTGGTGATTGATTTTATGAAGTTTTATTTAATATTTTTACATCTTAAAAAAAGGATATTCAATGTGTAATCACTAGATCAAAGCTGTTCTGTATGTCATGGGAAAATATAAAGTGTGCTTTTTGTTCTCTCTAAAGGTTTTTTTCTTTATTCCACATTTTGTGAACCTTGAGGAAGCTGAATTATTTATACTTTACTTGCCAACACACTTCAAACTTTAGTTCAGGATTACAGTGTACACAATTGTGGATTTTCAGGCTGTGCATGTCACTCTGGAAGAAACAAAAAATGTCTGCCACTCAACGTACACATGAACACAGGACATACACATTACCTTACAAAAATATTGAAAGTACCAATGCTTATTTATATAGATGTACATCTAGATGTTTAGAAAATATTTTAAAATAATGACAGAAGATACATTTCTAACCCCGTGCCAATGTAATTCCTGTGCCTCCACTTTTCTGTGGTACTCTATTTATTGCATCAGTATCAATTTAATCAAGCCTCATGTAGCCTGCAGGGTCTCAATAATGTTGAAATAGGATTCCATGCACTGCCAGACACATGGCTGTCCAATTCAATCAGCCTCTTCCAATCTCATTCCACATTTTTTTAAAGCCCTCCTGACATGAGGCATAGCATCATCCACAAACCATCTCCGTGTGTACATTATCACCATCACATCCAGAAGAAGGTTACGTTCTCTTTTTCTGTGAAAGTAAAAAATGTAAGTGTTTTGACATCTTAATTATAATACAGGTATTCATCTTGGGGAAAAAGAAACATCTGGAACCACAAAAAAACAAGTTTATTTTGTTTTATAATATTATTGTACTTTAATTATATGAAAAGTAAAAGAAACAACATTCCAATAATTAAACTGTGAGTTACATGTCCAACATAGTCCTCTCAGAAACATTACATTATTGATTAATGGATGTGTTTGAATCTGTATGTCACATTAAGGTCTAACCAGCTTCAAATTATTTAAGTACTTTAAATAGAAAAGGTCTCTTACAACTGTTTGTAGATGTCCTTTTTTAAGAGATCATCTTCATCCACTGAGAAGGCTGCTGAAGGCATGGTGGGATGGGTGAAGGTGCTACTCTGAAATCCGCTGCAACTGTTAAAACTGCACTTGCTCTCTACAAAATGAAAACCTTGGCAATTAATTTACACACAACAGAACCATCTCGAGTCATACGGATATAAAATGTTTCCTTTCATTGACCCATGGATCTGAATTTATTATTACTACTTCCAATATCAGGCTTGTTAAAATAATATAAAAGGAGCAGGAGACCTTCCTTAGACATTCCAACAAACCTTCTAGGGTAGTCTTGGAAATTGAAGAAATCTGTGGCATGTTTTTACAAATACAAAAAATGGCAGGTGTTGTATCTTCAGGATCACAGTGAAAACTCGAAAAGAGCAACTTAGGTTTTTAAGAGGAAGTACGCATGCAGCAATGCTGATCTCACCTGATGTAATCCCAACAGCACCCTGCTGGGACATGTGATGGGACACCATCATCTCAGTGTTAGTGGTGACTGTGTGGACGTGAGGGGGAATGCAGTAACCAGGAAAGGCTCTGGAGCTGAGCTGCAGCTGAACAACTTCCAGCTTCTCCACGAGGGAAGCATTTTCTGCTTTTACCTTTAGGAAAAGCATATATTCCAGTAATATAACTATTTTTCATCTATTTGACACAGAGAAAATAGTAGGAAATGTCTCCTCATGTCTGCTTTGTCTTTTGATTACATGGAAGTTAAGGTTCAGATAGACTTAGAAATTGGTGTTAACTGCTATTTGTGTTGCTTTCATCTGATGTTTGTTAAAGCCACAGGAATACAGTTATTTCTAACATCTAATTTCAACATTTGTCTCTTAACAATGTCTTTATAATAAAGTCTTATGGCTTACCTTTTCATTGTAGTTTTTTGTTTCTTCTATTTCTATTAATAGTCCATCCTGTAAATCAAACCTCTCATTACTCAGGGATTTAAGTCAACATTCACTTTAAGCACTTTGAGAAGCCACCTTTAAAGGCACTAAATAAATAAAAAAGTGTATTATTATATTATTATTATAATTCAGTCTGCGAAGATTTCTTTGGCAGGGGTATTCCTGCTCTGCAGATTAACCAGAAGATCAGTCTACTTCTGTAATAACGGTACGTTTGAGTTGGATATTGTCACTAGGGTCAATAGTGTACTTTCACAAGCACAACAGGCCTTTCTGCTGGATAAAATAGT